CCGGCAAAATCTGTCACGCCGTATACGCCTTGATCATAGACAGGCAGTCTCTGAACGTTCTGTGCACGAACAGGCCAGATTTCACATCCGTAGAGCAGGACCGCTGTCTACGTGACATGTAGACTCGGCCATTCAAGGAGAGACCCAGGTCGCGTCAACACCAGCGATGGCGAAGATGAGGCAATGCAGCTCGAGCCTTGGAGACGCGCTGAGACCTCCTCCGTTATGCTGTTAGCGCCGGTGCAGCCTCTCAGGTAAAGGAATTTGTCTATTCCAGAGTATGAGCTGAACGGTTAAGTGTAGTAGCAGCTTCTAACCAGTGTTTTAGGAAGACCTTACACTTCTGTGGGGCGAAAGTCTTTTCAAACTGGCAGACGCCTCCAACCTATACCTCACAAACCACGACTATGTCCGCATACTCCGAATCGCGAAGTCAGTCCCTCGGTGGCAACTCAATGCCGCTGGGTTCGCAGCTGTCCATAGCGTTCTCCCGAATGTCGTCCATAAGGAAGTTTCACAAGAAGGATGTTGCTGAGCAGCCACTGGTAATACTAAAGGGAGGGGTGAAAATCTGCCGTACACTCGCACTTGACCAGAGGTTCGAGAGTAGAGGGCTCGAGGAATGTTGACATACTTCTCGGACAATCCACGTCTCGATCACCCGAGACGAGCTTAGTCAAACGGGATTATTTCACTGGTACAAATCTCTTGTAGGAGAGAAGTTAACTCCCAATAATTGATGGACCTCCAACTTTGAAAAGACTTGGGGGAAGTTCGTCTGGGCCAGGGTCTGTGTAGCGCTTTAAAAGGTGAAGCTCACGAACAACCTCAGTCTCAGATGCTAGTGTAGCGTCTGCACACTAGGGAGCACTACGGTTTCCCGAATGAGGGATCATCGGTGCTGCAGGCCAGTTGAACTGCTGTTCAAAATGCCCAGCCCAACGCCCGCCATCGGTTTCGTACAAAACTTCGCTTACAACCGGCTTTTTTCCGCCAGTAGATTTGGAACAGCTTTCGGAAATTCCCCGAGCTGGCCGCCTACTTCATATCAATGACCCATTTCCTCCACCAGGCCTCGCGATCCTCCCAAAGGAGCGTTTAGCGTTAGTGATTCTGCGTAGTGAACAGTATTCAACGCCAGCTGCAATTGCTCGACGAGCTTCGAAAACTTGGAGAGATCGTGCTGAAATCCATCGGTTAACAGGACTACTGGTGAAACCACGGACTAGGGTTGCATAGTTGTCCATGGCGCTGCGGATGTGTGCCCAGTGCGTTTCAACGTCAGAGCATTAGCTGCTCTTGGGATTTGAGGCCAAAGCATCCTAAATCGCGCTGAGAACGCTAGGGGCAGAAAGGTTCATCACGTCAGTTCGTTTCCATCTACGCCATTGGGAGCCACCAAAAAGTAAAATGCTCTTGACACACACAAGCACGTGATCCGAAGTGAGGTAAACACTCCGTATTGATTTGCAATCCTGTATGCAACTCTGCCAGCGATAACTGATGACGATGTGATCAGTTAATGTCCACGTGTGGCCAGGTGATTGGACTCTCAAGTGGCACTCTAGCGCCAGGATCCCCGAAAGCTAGTACGCGACAGGTAGAGGCCGTTATCGTCTCAAAGTTGAAGTCGGCGACCACTTTTGTCAGTTCTGCGAATGTCCTGGCTATGTTGACCACTCAGTTCATGTCTGTCAACTTTAAGTCTGCTGGCCTGAACGTTTAAGTCCCCAGCAGGCACCGGGATATCCGTACTTCCCGTTTTAGATGAATGCCAGTGTTTCATCAGAATTCGTCTTTTACTGATCCCGGATTGCAGTCTGTACTTGTGTTCGCTGCTACAACGAACAGACATCGTCTACTGACTCCGTCGCTGGACAGTCGCAATGAGATTTCGGGTCGGATCTCGTAGGGTCAGTTGTTGACAGGGATCCAGTTTAATGACGCGGCCTCAACACGTTCGCTGAACTCAATTCCCACTCCGGCAAGATCAGCAGCTTCGGCGGTTTTGTCTCTAGCTAAGCACAATGTGAAAATGCCAAGGATGGGGTTGAACATACGTGGTATCTATTAATGGAATGGTGGTGCAGTTGAGCGCGGTTTTGCATGTTCAGCCGCCAGCACCTCCTCCTGGGCTGCATTGCCAGAGAGCAGATGGAGCAAAGCGAGAGTTCTTGAGGCATCGGTCCATAAGTGAGCATGCTGCTTCACGGTTGCCCAAGCTGCTGGAGAGGGTGGACTTAGGGGGCCCTTCCGGAACCTTTGGTCATAACACTTGACCAGCAGGCTGTAGGGTGATTGACATATATCGCTACCAAGGTGGAGATAACACCGTTTCGAATAAGAACAAGCTACTCAGAACGCCCAAGAACATCAAGCAACGCACTCGCGGAGACCAAGAAAGATTTCCTGGACCAACCAACGCCACCGTAGCACAAAGACCATTGACGGCTAGGTACTTCATACGCCTTCGTAGATTCCGGTAGCCATTGAGGTAGTTCATCCACCCTCCGTTGAATACACACTTCTGATTGCAGAAATGAGTGCTTAGCGACCCTATAGCCTGTCACATTGGCTTTGGCACAGCACCGTACGAGCTTTTGTGGTATTTGATGAGGAACCAGGTGACGAGCCCAGAACGTCTTACGCTCTATGACACTGCCACAGATTGTCCGCGTCTGCTTATTCATCTCGCCTGCGAACAACCGAGATTTATCCACAGTTAACTTTGCAGGGAAATCGCTCCCCGGTCCGCAACCTTGGGACGGGCATGTGGCCTACAGCTCCGCCGAACCGAACAGTGGTCGGTTCGCTTCCGGATGTGGGACATGGACTTGCTGATTGGATTGGAGCCACGCCCTCCGACCGCGTGTGTCAAAACTGAAATACACGAGGCTATTGATGCAAGGTGTAAGGTGTCCAAAAATTAAGTTGTAGAATTCAGGGGGATTAATGATGAAGTTGGCAGGTGGCGATAAGGATCAAAAAGCGGAAGAATGGGAATACGAAGACGAGAAGGCGGTGCAGTAGCATCCTCACACATATCTACCGTGTTCGATGCAGCCGATGCAGCGCCGTTGATTATTCTCTGCTACAGTTAGAGCATGCAGAAATTTTTTAATGTGATGGCCATTGTAATCCCTACTCCATTACTCGCAACTTCTGCTGTGCTGAGTTCATTCTCAACGTATGTGTGAGGGCCGCGTCATCACGGTTCGACTTCCAAGCCCACTCTGTGTAATGTTTAGCGGCCACTGATGAGGTCTATTTATATCGTTTCGGCATATACCGCAGTTGGCCCTATCCAATCGGTTATCACAGACGAATTCCATGGACAGCTCTCTTCTCTTATTCGAATTAATTAAAGTAAGGAAATCGGGACTGCTGTGAAGCGGCATGAATGCTCAAGTAACTCGACTGTCGAAGTCCTACTATCGGAACTATTTCGGAGTACACCGTTTTATCCGTATATCGACGACAACTTCTATATCAGCAGCACATGCGCTTGCATAAATTACATATTATGCACCAATTGACAGCTTCCTTTGGACTCAATCTATTCACTTTGTCACTGGCCGCAGACGTTGCATTTCAGTTCAGCATTTTCCAGGCGTCTTGCTTCTAGTCCGCAGATCTCCGATCAGAGCATGCGCAAATTCTTTTGACCTCATAATCTCTGGCTCGCACTCGACTGACTGGGTTCATGTGGCGTACTTCTGATACCCTTGATTTCGATCATATTCTCACGCATGCCGCATAGCCTTTACTCCGGCTTCGGTGAACCCTGCGACTTTGAAGATGCCTAATTCAGAACTTTGTTCGCCATCAGCTCTTTAGTAATACCAATCTGACAATGCCAGTCGTCACTAGTGTGCAAGGTGAACTAGCCGAATGCATTTAAGAGCGGCTTATTCAATCAGCTTGACGTGTTCCGCTAGTGCAATTTTTTCTGACACTTAGATTACTCTTATGGAAACTATAATGGTGGTTCGGTTATTTACACACTTTCATGATATTTCCATCGCCTTGAAATGGCTTGTTAACTTTTCCATTTCATCGGGAGCGTCAGTGAATAGCGGCGGCCCGTGTAATGAAGGTCTGTGCCATTGGGCACAACGGAATGCCGTTCTGACTCCGATGCATATTTCTTTAACTAGGACTCCTGAGATAGATGGCCAATCATTTCACTCACATTTCTGTTCATTTGAATTTTAGGTCGACAACTGGGGGAAATCCTACCAATCCGGTACATTGGGATCCTTATTAGGGTATTTTAAGCCAATCCAAGTCACTGTTTTACTTTTCGACGAGAGCCGTCACGAGTTGATACCGTTTAGGCGTTGCACAGTATCTTACTCTGACAACTTCCTTTGTCGTTGCTGTAAGACGGTAGCGGCTCATTCGTAACTGTACCCGCCACCCTTTTTTGCACTGTTTGACGCAACAAGGATAGTCCTTCCGGTTAGCAGTTACGAACTGTAATTCACATCTTTGGAAAGCCTCTTATAGTAACCATCGAGTGTTAGTCTCATCTCTACTGCCTGCTGATGAGCATATGCAATTAGTGCCTTTCAATTCGAACTAATTTTAAGCACTGTTGTTTGATTCTCCGAGTTTGAGTAAATGATCGCAATCCTTTCGCCACCATGCGAGGTGGCATCGTCAGTGCGGTGACGCGCGATGGGCAATCTCACTTTAATTGTTTGAGTAGTATAGTAATATGAATAACATTGGTATCTGTGTGCATTTCGTATTGTCCTACCAGCACTATCACAATAACGTGAAATTCTTCATCTACTTGTCAGACGTTGTATCCAGGTAAATCACCTATTTGTTGCGACGGCCTCCATCGGTGTCACATGATTGATTTCTTTTTGGCACAGTATTACATGCACTGGCTGCTAGCGGTCCTCAGTAGAGATTATTTGCTTGTATGTTCGTTCATTCTCTGGAAACAATGTTTTTGGATCATCGTTTTTCTCTTTGATCTGTACTTGTAGCACCACGGAGACAATTTGAAATCGCTTTCAGAATGTTTGATCTGAACGGAGATGGTGAACTGGATGCAGATGAATTCGATATGGTACGTTGCATCTGTACTTTGCGCTTGTGTTCCCTCTGGTTTATCTCCTACGGACATCCAATTTCCAGTCGCGTCTGCTAATTCATCCAACCTCGCATAACCCTTACTTTCTCCACACGATCGGTTTTGTGCCATCTTGTGGCAATTGTCTGAGAAGGGACAACGGAACTACCATCAGCAGCTGCACGCATTCACAAAATAATTGTTAGTTGGGTTAAAATTTCGATTTTCCGAACATTCTTTTCCGTCTCTTCAAGTTACTCTGTATTACTGAACTAATACGTGCGCACTTTGCTACAGATTGGCCAACAGGCAGCACTTGCCCGCACACTCGAGACCCTATCGATCAATAGTTGCTGCTTATCGGAAACTCGCTTGCAAGATTCGAGCTCTGTGCTTACCCTGCGATCCCCCACACGTGACACTGGTGGTGTTTTCCCATTGCGCTTATCCACAGATGACGCAGCTTTAAACGCCGGTCACGGCAGTGTGAGCGTTGCTTTGATCCTCCAACCTGAAGCTGCCCTGATCGATTGTATCCCAGTCAACAACCGGATGTGCACCGTTAGATTAGTTGGCTCGTTCCAGGCTTCGAAGTCGTGCGGTGATAAACGGTGCCTGTTTGTCATTGCGGCTTACGTCCCCACAAATTGCAGCCCTGATTCGATGAAAGATGATTTCTATCACCAACTTGACCATCTCCTTCGTTACAGAGGAAGCACGGATATTGTGTTGCCTGCTCGTGATCTAAACGGCCAAGTCGCAAAATTGTCCTCTGATGAGCTTCATCTGGGCGGCTAACATGGTGTAGGCTTCCGTAATGATAATGGTGAGCGGTTGCTACACCTGTGTGAAGATGCTCGTTTCTTTCTCGCGAGCACTAACTTTCGACAAAGCACCCGCAGAAGAGTGGCTTGGCGCCCACTAGCCTCGGACTAGCCATGTACGCAAGGCGATCGCATCGCCATCACTTACCGCTAGAGAGGCTGTGTCCAAAACTGTCGCTCGATTTGGAGCACCAGCGTGTACTCCCGTCACTCTCATGTGTTTGCCGACCTTCAGGTGGGTTTCGGCAGACGTGCACAACCTCGCTCTGATTGCATTGACACCATCATCCAGCTGGCGAAGCTAGGTGTTCTGAATGCGTATCAACGTGCGCTGGCATCCGGGATGAGTAAGCACTCATTGAACACCGTCAAAGAGCACTGGTTGCATATTCGCCAACCGTTACTGTCAGCAGGCATATCTTTATGTGGCAAATCAAATTGCCAACCTAGACTTTTGGGTCTCTATGATGCCTCTGGAACTTATGGATGCTCGCCGACGTATTCCTGCTGGAAGCGAATACAATGAAACTCGCAAAAATCTCAGGGCAAAACTCCGTGCTGTCCCAAACAGAGCCCGCGAAGCCTGGTAGTCTCATCGTGCATCGGAAATGGAAACAGCCGCTATCGTTTGTAATCATCGTAAGTTATTTCGTTTGATACAGGAAATAGGCATCAGGAGACCTGTTGTTTGCTAGACAATGCGCGACGGGAATAGACAGCCGATCCAAAGCCTATAAAAATGCTTGGAGCGTTTATCCGAACACTGCAAGGCAATTTAACCAACCTGTTATCACTTTCTTTTCGGGCATTGAGTGCGCTTCTCCATGGACCGTCTCCTTAAACCCGCCCTCACGTGCAGAAGTCGAAGGTTAGCTCAGATTGTTGAAATTGCATATGGCCGCAGAGGCAGATAGCATTTCCCCAACCCTCTTCAAATTCGGGAACCTGCTCTCGTAAATGATTTACACGAGTTGCTAGTGGAACTGAAGGCAGGTGACCGTCCCGACAGACTGGAGCCGCTCCGTCATAATCCAAATTTTCAAAGGAGGCTCCCGTTCGGAATGCAGCAATCATAGAGGGATCAGTCTGATCTCAATTGCCTCTAAATTGCTTGTCTGTCGTTATCCCCAGACTGACTGGCGCTTGTGAAAGCCAGATCCGCGAAGTTCAAACCAGGTTTCGTCGAGGTCGGGGCTGCATCGACCACGTCTTCACATCGCGTCAATTGTTGGTGCACCGCCGTGTTTATTGGCGACCCACCGTTGTCGTGTTTCTCGACATCAAAAGTGCGTTCGATTCGGTTGCTCGATATGCCCTTTAGGGCTGTCTGCTGAGAAAAGGTGTGCCCGATAAATACGTAAGCATTTTTAAAGCGCTGTACGCGCATAGTTCGGGCAGAGTGAGGGTTTAAGGCAAACTGTCGCCGCCCTTCCATATCTCCAGCTTAGACAAGCTTTCCCGCTGTTACCTCTATTTAACTTCGCTGTTGACGAAGTCATGATAACAGTGTTCGCTGGACACTATATCCTGGGGAGTGACTTCTTAACTTGGAGTATGCGGACAATATTGCCCTAATCTGTGACAGCTCCCCAAGTTGCCAAGCAGCACTGAACCGATAAGTACTGGCTATCAGTCGTTTTGGGCTATGCTTTGCTCCATCGAAATACAAAGTACTTCTCCAAGATTGGCAGGAACCCACTCTTGCGCTGACATTTGGTGGTAATCTGCTAGTAGTTGTTCATGAATTCAAGTACCTAAGCAACTGTATTGACGCTCGTGAGATCGGAGATAAGATTTCGAACCGTATAGCCAAAGCACGAGGTTCTTTTGCGAATTTCCGACACCTGTGACGCAGACGCGACATCACTTTTGCCCTGAAGAGCAGAGGTTTTAATGCAGCCGTCCGTCCAACCCTCTTATACGGTTGTGAAACCTGGCCCATCAGGTCGACAGACATAAAGATGCTAGTCTCGTTCCACCAATCGCTGCCTTCGCAGCTTAGCTCATGTCTGATGGGAGCACCGCGTGAGCTATGCGCGTGTTCTTCGTCGCGTATTTAGTGCAGCAAGAGCGTGTGAACCACTCAGCACCATTCCATAACGCAGCAGGCTCCGATGGCTGGGCCACGTGTTGCGCATGCCAGCACACCGACTTCCGCGACGTGCATTGTTTGCGCGCCGGAGGTGTGGTTGGAAGAGGAGGAGGTGAGGCCAAGCGTTGATTTGGTCGAGAGAAATGAAAACCCTCACTTCGAAGTTGGCATCAGTTGGTGCATCCCGACTGCCTGGTTGTGGTCCTAAGGATGATGAACGTGTTTGGTTGGACATACTTGCTGCTATGACGAAGAGCCAGCCCCAGGGGCGCTTATATTGTGTTTCTTTGTCCACCCCCCCCTCCTCTAATTCCGATCTCATGCGATTTACATAATATAATATTTAACATTATATTACTTGCTTTTAAATTTTTTGTGGTGTCTCTTTTTCTTATCTTTTTGTATTGCGGCACATTAGCTGAGGTGTTTCTTGCCCTCAACTAACCTGTGTTGATGACGATGTTGACTGAGCTAATACTTCTACGGCAGGTCGAACGGGCTTCACACACCTTGAGCATTTGCACCGATTCCAGCATTACTAACATTCAGTGCACCTATTCCTGTGACGGAGGTCTGTTTAATGAAAGCACTTTGAAGTAGGGTTTACTTCATTGCGATCATGTTCCTCAAGAGGCAAAAAAAGTATCCGTTCATAGTCGTTTTTCTGTGACTAGTCCATTAGAAGTCCGATATATGGTATATTCAATTTTCTAGATTCGCGTCGCCCTTTATTCTTGAAAAATTATGTTGAGGTATGGACTACTTAAAATACAGCTAACCAATTAGCCCTTTCGAGGAGTTTCTTTTGGAAAAATTACAGTCATTCGATACAAGGGAACAAATGCAAGAGACCCGTAGCCTTAAGGACCACAAGCCTGCCTTGCAATCCGAACTCGCGGGTTCGAGCCTGTCTAGGGAACCGGGCGGCCCTAGCATTATCCTCAACCCTTGCGCGATTGTTCGTGGTTGCGCGGCAGCTAGGTGCCCGTACGGTGTACTGCTGATGCCTCTACGGACAAACTAAAATGACTGAGGAAAACAGTTAGGAACATGACGCTGTCTTCAATTAGAGTGGCTTGAAAGTGCACGCATTTCTTACGGAGCAAATAGGATACGGCAAGAAAAAGAAGAAAGCTTAGGAAATCCACCTATATACCGCATGTGTCCTCACCTTAATGTGTTGAGGTTGTCTGGATACCTCCGTGACCTATTGAGCTTCTCTGCGCGGCACTTTCCAAGTACCTTCAGAGCCATTCCTACTTGACAGCTCAATATTTAGGGGTCATACTAACTCAGTCTCACAGTCCACTCCTCTTTGGAGGTTAGGGAGATAACGATGGCCCACTTCCTTTGAAACCTAGCCATGGGAGACATGTCTACAGGTCATAAGTGCACAGCTCGATTGGCGTAGACACGAGCGCCGCGCATTGTCCCTGACGTTGGAAGGGCACCTTTCGGTGCTCAATATTTTGTCACCGTCCACCCCAAGCCAGGTAGCCTCTGGTCAAATTGGTGCAAACCCGCCAAATTGCACTTGCGATTGACCGTGGTCGCAGGCGCGTAGCATAATACGGTCGTAAAACACAAGTACATTGTACTAACTCTTCCAAGGCTGTGTTTGACATGCCTCAAGCAGGTCCCAGTGGGTCTCTGCAATTACACTCTCTAGCCAGACTTGCTCTCCACTGCGTTATGGGTCAGGTTATTGAACCACACACACTAGCTGGAGTCCCTCAAGCGAACTTCCAAATTCCCCACTGCCTTGCAATTCATTCATACATTATACAGCTTAGCTAGAGGTGTAAAACACCTCAGCTACTGTGCCGCAATACATAAAAGAAAAAGAAAATAAATACAACAGTTGCATGTCAGCTGAGCTACCAACAACGAATGGGCATCGTTCCGGAAAGCTACCAGCCGGCTACTAAGCAACAGGAAAAATTATTATGTAAACTTATATTACGCTACGAAATATGATCGTGCTTGGAGGGGGAGGCTAAAAGGGATGAGGAGGGACAAAGACTCACAGCAGGAAGGCCATTGAGCTCGGCTCCTAGCCATGTCAGCAAGTGTGTTCAACC